GGAAAGCACCACAAAACAAAGACCGTCTGGGCATTGAACAACCAAGAAAAAAACAATGAATCCAAACAAAAACAAAGACACCAAAGACCCAGGGCGGAAACACCGAAAACCACAAGGACAAACCAAACAACAAGTCAGCTTTTGCAGCACTTTCTCTGTAAGGGCGGCGGGGACGGGGTAAGGCTTGACATCTGTGGTTGTTGTTCGTCCTTGTGTTGTTTGTGGGTTTTCGGCCCTGGGTCTTTGGTTTCTTTGTATTTTACCCAACCCTCCTTGGTTGGGTATTCGTTTTGAATAGAGCAGTGTGGTCTCCACTCCTTCCTCCTCCTCCCTCCCTCCCTGTCTCTTCCTGTCTTGCCTGCGGGGGGCTGCGGTCTGTGAAACTGTCGCCATTTTCGAGGCCTGCTGGGGGGCCCAGCACAGTGAGGGCGACGCGCGGATTCAAATTAACCTCGCCATCCCTGGGGGGCTGCGATCTGTGAAACTGTCGCCATTTCGAGGCCTGCTGGGGGGCCCAGCACAGTGAGGGCGACGCGCGGATTCAAATTAGACCTCGCCACTGCGATCTGTCCATTTTCGAGGCCTGCTGGGGGGCCCAGCATTCAAATTAGACCTTCCCTGGGGGGCTGCGATCTGTGAAACTGTCGCCATTTCGAGGCCTGCTGGGGGGCCCAGCACAGTGAGGGCGACGCGCGGATTCAAATTAGACCTCGCCATCCCTGGGGGGCTGCGATCTGTGAAACTGTCGCCACTTTCGAGGCCTGCTGGGGGGCCCAGCACAGTGAGGGCGACGCGCGATTCAAATTAGACCTCGCCATCCGGGGGGCTGCGATCTGTGAAACTGTCGCCACTTTCGAGGCCTGCTGGGGGGCCCAGCACAGTGAGGGCGACGGGCGGATTCAAATTAGACCTCGCCATCCCTGGGGGGCTGCGATCTGTGAAACTGTCGCCACTTTCGAGGCCTGCTGGGGGGCCCAGCACAGTGACGCCACGCGCGGATTCAAATTAGACCTCGCCATCCCTGGGGGGCTGCGATCTGTGAAACTGTCGCCACTTTCGAGGCCTGCTGGGGGGCCCAGCACAGTGAGGGCCACGCGCGGATTCAAATTAGACCTCGCCATCCCTGGGGGGCTGCGATCTGTGAAACTGTCGCCATTTTCGAGGCCTGCTGGGGGGCCCAGCACAGTGAGGGCGACGCGCGGATTCAAATTAGACCTCGCCATCCCTGGGGGGCTGCGATCTGTGAAACTGTCGCCATTTCGAGGCCTGCTGGGGGGCCCAGCACAGTGAGGGCGACGCGCGGATTCAAATTAGACCTCGCCATCCCTGGGGGGCTGCGATCTGTGAAACTGTCGCCACTTTCGAGGCCTGCTGGGGGGCCCAGCACAGTGAGGGCCACGCGCGGATTCAAATTAGACCTCGCCATCCCTGGGGGGCTGCGATCTGTGAAACTGTCGCCACTTTCGAGGCCTGCTGGGGGGCCCAGCACAGTGACGCCACGCGCGGACCCAAATTAGACCTCGCCATCCCTGGGGGGCTGCGATCTGTGAAACTGTCGCCACTTTCGAGGCCTGCTGGGGGGCCCAGCACAGTGAGGGCCACGCGCGGACCCAAATTAGACCTCGCCATCCCTGGGGGGCTGCGATCTGTGAAACTGTCGCCACTTTCGAGGCCTGCTGGGGGGCCCAGCACAGTGACGCCACGGGCGGACCCAAATTAGACCTCGCCATCCCTGGGGGGCTGCGATCTGTGAAACTGTCGCCACTTTCGAGGCCTGCTGGGGGGCCCAGCACAGTGACGCCACGGGCGGACCCAAATTAGACCTCGCCATCCCTGGGGGGCTGCGATCTGTGAAACTGTCGCCACTTTCGAGGCCTGCTGGGGGGCCCAGCACAGTGACGCCACGGGCGGACCCAAATTAGACCTCGCCATCCCTGGGGGGCTGCGATCTGTGAAACTGTCGCCACTTTCGAGGCCTGCTGGGGGGCCCAGCACAGTGACGCCACGGGCGGATTCAAATTAGACCTCGCCATCCCTGGGGGGCTGCGATCTGTGAAACTGTCGCCACTTTCGAGGCCTGCTGGGGGGCCCAGCACAGTGACGCCACGCGCGGACCCAAATTAGACCTCGCCATCCCTGGGGGGCTGCGATCTGTGAAACTGTCGCCATTTTCGAGGCCTGCTGGGGGGCCCAGCACAGTGAGGGCCACGGGCGGATTCAAATTAGACCTCGCCATCCCTGGGGGGCTGCGATCTGTGAAACTGTCGCCACTTTCGAGGCCTGCTGGGGGGCCCAGCACAGTGACGCCACGCGCGGATTCAAATTAGACCTCGCCATCCCTGGGGGGCTGCGATCTGTGAAACTGTCGCCACTTTCGAGGCCTGCTGGGGGGCCCGCACAGTGACGCCACGCGCGGACCCAAATTAGACCTCGCCATCCCTGGGGGGCTGCGATCTGTGAATCTGTCGCCACTTTCGAGGCCTGCTGGGGGACCCAGCACAGTGACGCCACGGGCGGACCCAAATTAGACCTCGCCATCCCTTGGGGGCTGCGATCTGTGAAACTGTCGCCACTTTCGAGGCCTGCTGGGGGGCCCAGCACAGTGACGCCACGCGCGGACCCAAAACCTCGCCATCCCTGGGGGGCTGCGATATGAGATCCCCGCTTTCGAAGTGGCTAGGGTTGCTCAGGGATTGTAACTAATCAGCTAGCCAGTGTCCTGCGAGTCTCCCGAATTCCGTCTGCAGACATAGGTAACCCTCGCTCCGTCATCGCCCCCCTTATAAAGTGTCCTAAACTATTTGCGCCCCGCGTTTGCGCAGGGGTTGGGTGCGTCGCCAGGGTAATTGGTTGTTCCTTGTGTTTGGTTTGTTTCTTCAGTGCCCTCCTCTTCTTCCCCCAGCCTTCTATGCCTCCAGCACTTTTTGTGCTGGAGGCATAGAATTGGTTTCATATGGTTTCCTTCAGATAGCAGCTCCTGTGTAAGCCTTTTCAAAACGAGATCCCTTTGTAAGGCTACCACGCTCCTGCAGGAGGAGGAGGGGGAGAGGAAAAGGGGATGAAAGAGAGAGAGATACGAAGGCGAGTGGAGGAGGATGATGAGGAGGAGATATGGGATGCATAGAAGAAGAACATGTGTGGTCATGTGTGGGTGGGGGCTACCACATAAATATGCGTGGATGCGCTGAGGTATGCAGGCATGAATGTATGTATGCATGTATGCATGTATGTAACCATGCATGCATGCAGGCACGTACGTATCTGCATATGCGTGCATACATGCATGTATATATATATATATATATATATATATATGTAGATATGTGTGTAGGTGCGTATGTATGCATGTAAGTATGTATGCATGTCTATGTGTATGTATGTTTTGGTTGTATGTAGGTATGCATGCATGCGTGCATGCCTAGATGTATGCATATATGTACGTATGCTTGCATGCATGCATGCATGCATACATTCATGCATGTATGTATGTATGGATGCATGTGCATGTATGCATGTATGTATATGGCTGCATGTTTGCATGCCTGTTTGTATGCATGCATGTACGGAGGTATGCATGCACGTATGTAGGTATGCATACATGCATGTGTGTGTGTGCATGTAGGTTTGTATGTATCCATGCATGCATGCATGCATGTGTGTAGCTATGACTGTGTGTAATTATAGATGTATGAATTGATGTTTGTATGTATGAGTGTACGTATGTATGTATGTATGTGTGTATGGATGCATGTATGTATGGTTGCATGTATGTGTGCATGTATGTAGGTAGGTAGGTGGGTAAGTATGTCTGTCTGTCTGTCTGTATGTCTGTATGTATTTCTTTGTGTATGCATGTGTGTATGTGTGTGTGTGGGGGGGGGGGAGTGTGTGTGTGTGTGTGTGTGTGTTTGTCTGCATCCCCGTGTGCTTTGTCCGCAGCTCCTTGCTTTGTTGCTCTCGCATCTCCTTATCCGGCAGGTCCCTCCCTCGGCCGCGGTCCCTCCGCCGCGGTGTCGCGGGTCGGAGGGACAGCGACCCCTCTGCGGCTTTCGGGCCCCTGCCTCTGGGCCCTCGCCTCGTGCGCTCTCGGGCCCCTCTTCGGTCCCCAGTCGACGCTGTGATGAGCGCACGGGGATTCAGGGCTTGATCCCCTCCCACGTCCAAAGAAAACGCCCATGGCCAGCATCTGGATGGTGCATTTCCCTGCTCCGTCCTCTTCCTCGCCCTCGCCTCCCTCCTTTTCCGTCCTCCTCGCCTCCGTCCCAATTGCATTACGCCGCATAGCATACATGCGAATTCTGCTCCCCTTGCGATGGTCCAGAGTGGTTCTCGTGCCGACGCGGCCTGCCGGACGCACGGCGTCAGTGAGTGTGGGCAGCTCTGGGCTGCACGACGTTGCAAGGCGGCCCAGCGTGCCCGAAGAGGTCCCGTGCACGGTCTGAGGCACCCGTCAGCAGTGGCAGTAGGACCAGCGGCAGCAGCCGGCATCAGCAGCCAGGAGCAGTCGGCAGTCAGCAAGCAGAGAGTAGCGGCACGCAGAACTTGCGAGCAGCAGTGCCAGCATAATGAAGCAGAGCAGCAACAAGCAGCAACACCACCAGGAAGCAACAGCAGCACACGTATACAAAAGCCACAGGCTTGGAATCACCATCAGGAGCAGCAACACCACCAGGAGACAGTAATATCACCATCAGGAAGCAGCAACAACACCACGAACCACCATCGCAGTACCAACATAATCAGCAGCACCAACAGGAAGCACCAGCAGCAAGCAGCAACACGTATTCGACGACCGCTGTCAGTTCAATAGAAGGTCCAAGAGGCCTTGGAGCACGCCGCAGGGACGTCAAAGTGCCCACAACGACACTCCCTCACCCAGCCAAGTACGCTCCAAGACAGGCCACAAGGTGCCCCACACTGATCGATCTGGTATCGCTTGGTTGAGCCATGCTCGACCAGCAAGTCGCCTGCGGACTTGCCCTTCGCCAAGTGTAGACTAGTCAGCCACAACGTTGTGCTCAACGCGTGCGAGAAGGCCGAGCAGTGGCAGCAGTCGTTGGCGCTGTTGAGCGCGATGAGGGAGACGAAGGTGGAGCCTGGTGTCATCAGCTACGGCGCTGGAATCGGCGCGTGCGAAAAGGGCGAGCAGTGGCAGCGCGCTGTGCTGCTCTTCAGCGAGATGGGCGAGGCGACCGTGGAGTCCAATGTCATTTCCCCCTACACGGTCGGCAGAAGCGCATGCCAGATCGGTGAGCACTGGGACGCGGCTCAAGCCTCTAAAATCGCCCTCGGCTTGGCCCTGCGAGTCCTGGCGGGCCCCAGCGGGTTCGGAGACAGTCCCACGTGGCGCGAGACGCCTCTACATGGCCGTAGAGGTCGCCGCTATGGCTGCCAGGCGGCTCAACAGGGCCCCAAGGCGGCCCAAGAGGGCTCCACGAGGCCCCCCAAATAGAGCCTCGAGAGGCGAGTACCATCAGTTCTTCCAAGGGTGTTACTGCTTTCGACGTTCTCACCGTTTCGGGGTTCCGACGCTCCAAGACGGCACAATGGGCCTCCAAGATCGCCCCAACACGACCCAACAAGCCCCTGAGAGGGCCCCAGGCAGCCCAAGAGGGCCCCAAGACCGCCCAAGCGGCCCTCAAGGAGGGCCCCAGCGGGCCCAAGAGAGCCCCAAGAACCAGCAGGCCCCCAAGAGACCCTCCCAGAAGCCCCAGGAGGCCCCAAAGAGATCCGAATCAGGCCCCAAGAGGCCTCCGAGAAGTCGAACGACACCCCCAAAACCGCCTCCAAGAGGCTTTCGATGGAAGATCCCTCAGAGAGCTTCGGGACCGCGCCAGCCACCCAGAAATTCGACACCCGGGCGCTTCTTCTTTTCCTCCCTTCGTTAGAGCGGCTCTGGTCTGACTGGGGGACCCATCGGGGAGTTCTCCCTGAGAGTGTTCCGGAACCGGCACGCCAGACACCAGGGGCATGCTCCACAGTGCCGTCTGCCTTCTTCCAAGCCTACCCAGCCCGCGCGCATCCTCGGACCTCCTTGCACGGCCACGACCACGATGGAATGTTTAATACGCATGCGCCTACTCATGTCCAGCCTCTGTCCTAATACTGCCCTAAGGCGGCTCAAGATTGTCCCGGGTGGCCCAAGACGCCCCCTCCCGCAGCCCATTTTGTCCATGAAGGCCCAGCCGGGCTCCAAGGTAGCCCAAGAAGCCCCAAATTAGGCATGAGACGGGCTAGGTTCAGCCCCGGAGCTACGCATTTCAGCTTTCGAAAGCAAGCAGCAGCAATCAGCAGCTGCAGGCCAGCAAGCAAGCAAGCAGCAAGCAAGCCAGCAGGCATGCAAGCAAGCAAGCAAGCATAAAGCAAGCAGCAAACCAATACAAACAGGCAAACTTTTCGCAAGCAGCACTAGCAGCAAACACTCTAAATAAGCAGGCAGCAGACATCGACTCATCGAGTCTCCAACCCGACGCTTCTCCAAAGCTGACGAAATCTCTGACGAATCGGCCCCCGGACCCTGGTGCCCGTCTGGTCTCCCATTCCAGGTCGATGTTTGACGGTCCCGGAGTCTGGAAACAGGCCTCAGAGGTTCACAAAGACGGCACATTTCCTCGGGCCTCTACGCTTAAGTCGGGCCTGTCCCCTTACAAGGGGATTCACGACAAAAAATAAGAAATACCGCAAACATGCCCCAAAAAGGTAGAAAAATAATAAAACAAATGTTTCCCATACAATTTTTTGGTTTTGTTTGATTATTTCTGGTGTGTTTCTTTATTTTTCGTCGATTTCATCGAACATACCCCTGTAGGGGGACAGGCCCGACTTAACTCTACGCTCCTCGCCCCTCTTCCCCCCTGGCCGTCGCTCCTTTCTTCTTGCTTCTCGCTCTGCGCTGATCGTCCTTCGTTTCTCCCCCTCCTCCTCCTCCTCCTCCTCCTCCTCCTCCTCCTCCTCCTCCTCCTCCTTCCCCCCTCCTCCCTCGATGGGTTCGATCCTGACCCCTCGTTCTTCGATCTTCTGTCGGCAGCAGGTTGCATGAGAACGCTGAAATACTTAGCTGTCTCGAGACGCCCTTTTTGATGCGCAACACGTACTGTGCTCAAAACGTCTGTGTCAATACGTTGCGTGTTGGGTCAGCGTATGGTCCACGCATTGGCGAATGTATCGCGTCAGACTTGCGCATTCAGTCTGCGTGTTGAGCTTCGTGTACGCTACGTGTTGCGCGTTAGGTGTCGGGGCAGCTGAGCTGAAGCAGCGAGAGGCATCACCCTGCAGCATCCAGAAGCAGCAGCGAGTGGCAGCAGCGCGGATCGGGCAGCAGCACGCACAACTCAGAAATGGCCATCGGCGGCAACCTGCAGCAGCAGCACGCAAGCAGCATCTGCGGGGTGCAAAGCTCGGGCCCCGCGTCGTCATGTCAGTCATTCGGCCGCGTGTCCACCACAACGTGCCAGTTCGTGTGCAGATTTCGTCGACGTTGTCCACGGCTCAGCCAAAGTCAGCTACAGCAATGTAATCAGCGCCTGCAAGAAGGGCGAGCAGTGGCAGCGGGCATTGGCGCTACTCGCCGAGATGCGAAGCGTGACTTTGGAGCCCGACGTCAGTATCGTTTAACCGACCCCTATCCCGATCCCAAACCAGACCTCCAACTTCCCAGCACCCCAGTCCAAAATAGACCCCTCGAAACCCGACGGAGACAGTTGATATTCGGCGGTGAGCGAGGGGGCGGGGCTTCTCAGAAGCCCTCCCGCCTTCTGAGAAGGCTTCTGCGTCTTCGGGGAAGGCCCAGAGAACTTCTCAGAAGGCTGGGGGGGGGACGTCCGAGCCTTCTGAGAAGGCCCGCCCCCTCTCACTTCCCCCCCTCGCTCGCCGCCCGAAGGGGTGTGGGGGGACATCCCTCCTCGAAGTCAAACGCAAGTTGTTTCTGCCGGCCGGCGCGCGAAATGCAGCCCGCGGGGTCAGCTTTGTGCGCCTGCAGTCGCCGCCTTCGAGGCGGGCGCTGAAAGGTCGGCGCCCTGGGCTCGCCGCCGACCTATCCCCATCTAGAGGGGTAAGCCGGCCGGTGCGGTCAACCCGCATAGCAAGGATGGGCAGCCTTCCCAAGGGTACCCCTTAGGCGATGCTTAAGAAAACCTAAGTTTTCGGCCAGAGTCTCGACTATTCTTAACGTTTCAATGTAAATCCTAAGATTTTGATAGAAATGTTGGTTTTTTATTCAAGTTCCGAGACCATGAATTTCTTAACCCATGATTTCTTAAGCATTTCGCAGGGTGTAAGCCGGCCAGTGCAGTCAACCCGCATAGCAAGGATGGGCAGCCTTCCCAAGGGTACCCCTGCATCCTTGCCTCCTCGGTCCATCCCTGGCCGCTTTCGCAGGCCGCGCCCCGCTCGAAGAGCTTCGGCGTGGCCTTCCAAGGCCCTTGCATCCCTATCGCGCATCCTCGTTATGCGGGTCGGCTGTAATCTTTGATCCCCCTTTCGGCCAATCCCCCTTTTTTCGCGCTGCCTCCGCCTCTCTCCCAGTCGCCGGGGGGGGTCGATCCGCGAAGCTCTGACCCTCGATGCTCGGGAACTCCCCGAAAGTCGGGCATGCCCCTCTGGAGGAGGAATATTTCAAAATTGTCGAGACACAATAGAGGAGGAACGTTCAAAAATAGAGGAGGAACATTCAAAAATAATCGAACAACGAAACTCCTGACTACACGCCCTGTAGGGCCTGCCCAGTAGGGCCCAGGCCACGCCCTGTGGAGCCCTCGGTGGCCCTCGGCGGGCCTGGGCCGTCGGCGTGGCGCGTCCTGGGCGAGGCGGGCGCCGGGCCCCGGCCCTGTGCGCCTGGGCCTCCAGAGGCTTCCGGGGGGCCTCCGCAGCAGGAGGAGGAGGAGGAGGAGGAGCGAGAGGAGGAGGAGGAGGAGGAGGAGGAGGAGGAGGAGGAGGAGGAGGAGGAGGAGGAGGAGGAGGAGGAGGAGGAGGAGGAGGAGGAGGAGGAGCGAGAGGAGGAGGAGAGGAGGAGGAGGAGGAGGAGGAGGAGGAGGAGGAGGAGGAGGAGGAGGAGGAGGAGGAGGAGGAGGAGCGGGAGGAGGAGGAGAGGAGGAGGAGGAGGGAGGAGGAGGAGGAGGAGGAGGAGGAGGAGGAGGAGGAGGAGCGGGAGGAGGAGGAGCAGGAGGATGAGCGGGAGGAGGAGGAGGAGGAGGAGCAGGAGGAGCAAGAGGATGAGGAGCGGGAGGAGGAGGAGGAGCGGGACGCTTCTGGGGGCCTCCGCAGCAGGAGGAGCAGGAGGAGCAGGAGGAGCAGGAGGAGCAGGAGGAGCAGGAGGAGCAAGATGACGAGGAGGAGGAGGAGGAGGAGGAGCAGCAGCAGCAGGAGGAGGAGGAGCAGGTAGAGTAGGAGCGGGAGGAGGAGGAGGAGGAGCAGCAGGAGGAGGGGGAGGAGGAGGACCCAGGCCACGCCCTTTGGAGCCCGACTTCGCCCAAAGTTGCCCTGCCGGCACACGGTGCGGCCGCGGGCCCGCCGCCGGAGAGGAGGCCCACGGCACCCTCCTCGGGGAGGCGACCCGAGCGGCCCACGTCGCCCTCGAGTAGCCTACGAGTAGTCCGCCCTCAAATTCGAAGGGCGAGGGCGAACTTCGAAATTGCATTCGAATTTCGAAGCGGGCCCCACAGGCAGCGGGCCTGGGCGCGGGCCCGACAGGCAGCGGGCCCCCCGAACTTCGAAACCCAACAGGCAGCGGGCCTGGGCGCGCCTAGTCCACTCGTAGCCTACTAGTAGTCCGCCCTCGAACTTCGAAATTCGTCCTCGAATTTCGAAGTTCGCCCTCGAACCTCGAAATTCTGTAGTCGACACGTGTCGCCGAAGGGGACACGTGTCGACTACAGAATTGATTTCCCCCGAGATTGGTTTCCCGTAGAACCTACGGGTTTCCAAGAAGAAACGACACCATAAAGATAAACGTTTGGCGTTCCGCGCGGATTTCTTGCATCCGCACTGGGCCCCCCCCCAGTGA